GAGTTCTTTGTATATTCTGGTTATTAGCCCTTTATCAGATGTATAGCATGAGAATATTTTCTCCCGTTCTGTAGGTTGTCTGTTCGCTCTATTGATTATCTCCTTGATTGTGTAGAAGCCTTTTTTAATCAGGTCACATTTATTTATTCTTCTTGTTGCTGTGATTGCCTCTGGGATCTTCATAAATTCTTTGCCTAGACTAATATCTATAAGAGTTTTTCCAATCTCTTCTAGAATTTTTATAGTTTAAGTCTTTTATCCATCATAAATTAATTTTTGTGAGTGGTAAGAGATGTGGATCCTGTTTCAGTCTTCCTCATGTTTTCTCAGTGAAGTAAGCAAGGTCATCACCTCAGAATGAGTAGGGAGGTAGTGTGGAAAGGAGACCATATGAAATGGAATGCATAAAAATGAAATAACATTATACTGAGAATCCTAGCCCACACAATTGGGCAAGGAAAATTGGGCAAGGGTAATTATTAGAAAGCTAATATTAGAAATTAAACCATTATTATTGACACATAACATGTGTGTCCATAGAGAAAACCCAAAATAACCTACCAGCTAATCACTAGAATTAGTTTAGAAAGATACCTGAATACAAGATCAATATATAAAAACTGTTTCTATCCAAAAACAACAGTTATAAAAGATAATTTTTAAAAATATATCATCTAAAGTAATAACAAAAAAAGATTAGAAAGCTAGAGATAAAAGTAAAATATGCAAGATTGTTACCAAAAAAAACAACCTAAAACTCTCCTGTCTGATCTACAGTTTCTGTTGAATTCCAATAAAAATTCTAAAGTTTTTGAAAAATCTTGACAAGCTGATTCTAAAATTGTTATGAAAGAGAAAAAGCCCCCAAATAGCCAAGACACTCTTAGAAAAAAAGTGGTAGAAGGATTGATATGTCCTACTAAATAGTAACACTCTTAAAGCTATTATAATTAATATTATGTGAAGGAGAGACAAATTGACCAATGGAATAAAAGAATTTAAGAATAACATGCATATATGTCAGTTTGACATATGACATAAGTAATATTGCATTCAATGCCTAGAAAATACTTAGCACACAGTAAGTGCTAAGTATGTATTTTTTTAATTAATGTTTGGATAAATGAGTGAGTAGAAAAATTTGGAGCTCTTTAATACTTGATGCTGGGACAATTGGCTATTCATAATTTAAAAAACAGAATGAATTCTTTCTTCAGAGTATAATTAAAATCAATTTCAGCCGGGCGCGGTGGCTCACGCCTGTAATCCTAGCTCTCTGGGAGGCCGAGGCGGGCGGATTGCTTGAGGTCAGGAGTTCGAAACCAGCCTGAGCAAGAGCGAGACCCCGTCTCTACTATAAAATAGAAAGAAATTAATTGGCCAACTAATATATATACAAAAAATTAGCCGGGCATGGTGGCGAATGCCTGTAGTCCCAGCTACTCGGGAGGCTGAGGCAGGAGGATTGCTTGAGCCAGGAGTTTGAGGTTGCTATGAGCTAGGCTGATGCCATGGCACTCACTCTAGCCTGGGCAACAAAGCGAGACTCTGTCTCAAAAAAAAAAAAAAAAAATCAATTTCAGATAAATTATAAACTTAAATGTAAAAGGTAAAACTTAAACCTTTTTTAAACAGACAATAGAACAGTATCTTCTTGACCTTGGTTGGGGGGGGGAGGATTTCTTAAACAGACACAAAAATATTCACTATATATGAGATAATTGATATGTTTATATTAAAACTAGGAACTTCACTGCAGTGAAAATAGATTACATCTACATGCAACAACACAGGTATATCTCAGACAATCCTAAAAGAGCAAATTACAGAAGACTCAAAAGAAGCAAAAGCAAACTATATAGTTGACCGTTGAACAACATGGAGATTAGAGGCACCAACGCCCCTGTGCACTCGAAAATCTGTGTATAACTTTTGTCTCCCCAAAAACTTAACTACTAAAAGCCTACTCTTGGCCAGAAACCTAACTGATGACATAAAACAGTTGATTAATACATATTTTGTATTCTAAAATACTGTAAGGTAAGTTAGAGAAAAGAAAATGTTATTAAGAAAACCATGAGGAAGAGAGAACATTTACTGTTTATTACGTGCAAGTGGATCATCATAAAGGTCTTCATCCTTGCTGTTTTCAAGGTGAGTAGGCTGAGGAGGAGAAAGAAGAGGAGGGCTTGGTCTTGCTGTCTCAGGGGTGGCAGAGGTGGAACAAAATCTGTGGATAAATGGATCCACATAGATGTTGTTCAGGGGTCAGTGTATGTAGGTAAACATTCATATTGGTTTTTGTAAAACTTTCTTAAAACAAAGGAATGATAAAATACAAAATGTGTTTAGCTTGGTGGGTGGGAGGAGAAAGGAGATTGGTATCCAGGAGAAACACGTGGGGGCTTCAGAAGTGCTGATGATATTCTAGTTCATAAATTGGGTAGTGGGTTCATGTGCGTTTGATTCATTATTAATATTATACTTCATAATGAAAGATGGTGCATAAAGTCTGGTACGTAGCAAATATTACATAACAAAAAGTTTTAAGGAAAAAAAACAAATAAAAACATATGATAACATATGCCAAATGAGTTTTGTACACCACCGCTGCCGTGTGCCCACCTATGACTGTTCTCAGCTGCATTCGTTGTTCACTGCCTAATTAACACCCTCCAGGTCATCACCCACGCATGCCATTCTAATCCCTTTCTATGCCCACAGCCTTGAACTTCAAGGCAAGGTACTAGCTGTCTTCCCACTGCCTTCCTGCCTCTGTGCTCTCCCACCTCCATTTCAACCTCCCCATTATTACCAAAACCACTTTTGTCCCTGGCATTAGGGTTGAGTTACAGTGTTATTCTCTGCCCTAGAAACAGCAGAAGCTTAGATCTGCTTTCTTCTTCAAATATACACATATTGTTCCCCTTCTCTATACGTTGAATTCTGCCTTCAGTAGTGAAGCATCACAATCACTCCTCCCCTCCTGGCCCCCCAAAACCCACTCATTGTAATTTGCTTTGAGTGGAAATGTGATTGGACAGAAGGGTATGATCTAATGGTAGTAGACTAAGGGGTGGAAACCCAGCAAGGCCTGTCTATTCAGACTTTTCTTGGCCGCTCTGTGTAGCATTTCTTCCACCTGGGTATGGGGCAGGATGTCTTTGGAATGAGGATCTTCGAGGGAGAAAGAAAAGAGTGACTTTTCTACACTTTAAGGCTTGCTTTGGGGGAGAGGGGTTCCAGTTTCTTCCACCAGCTTTGGGGGAGAGGAATTCTGATTTTGTGACTCACTTTAGGGGAGAAAGAAGTGGGTGAGTGTGAGACAGGAAGATGGGAGATCAGAAAATCCTTGCTTATGAGGACCTTTCAGTTTTCTTCCCTTCAAAGTATTCAACACACCAAGGTGCCATACTTCCGGGTATCATATTCTGAGCCCCAACAATAACAAACCAGAAATGTGGACAGAGAGAAAAATTCCTTTGGTTGGTCAACCAATCATTGTCTTCTTTAAAGTATTATGGCTCTTTGTTTTTAAAGTAAAGGACATGTTTTTATGCACTCCCATAATCACTTAAAAATAAATAATGCTATATATAATTTATATGTTCAACAAATATTGACTATTTACAGTTGACCCTTGAACAACACGGGTTGGGTGCTCACCTCCTAAGCAGTAAAAAATCTGCATATAACTTTTGATGCCCCTAAAACTTTAGGAATAGCTACAGTTAGTTGACTGGAAACCTTACCAATAACAGTTGATTAATATGTATTTTGTATGTTATATATACTATACATTGTATTCTTACAATAAATGGAAGAAAAGAAAACATAAAGAAAATTATTAGGAAGAGAAAATACATTGGTATTTCTGTACCATATTTATCAATACTGTTAGTTTACTTCATCTGTTTACAAATTGTCCATCTGAAATGACAGGCAACTGCAGCTGCTGACCTCAACCTTCTGTACATACCAAGCAATTCAACTTTTTCTTATGTCTTGACTTGACTTATTAGGAGCACTTCCAGCATCACTAGTGGCATTTCATGGTTTGCAGTATCACACTATACATGGAAAATATGCAAAACCGCAAGAGATCACTTTTTACTGTGATAGCAATTTACTGTAAGAACTGCTTACAGGGAGATTAGTGTCACATGACAGCATTTTAAGTGAATAATCCTAACACTTAAGCTCACTGCAATAGCAACAGGAGGTGGCCACAAAATTATTGTAGTAGTACAGTATGTACTATGATTAATTTTATGCAGTTATGATTAATTCTACATCTTCACGTTTATTTATATTTCTCTCAACTGTGAATGGTGCCATGTACTGTTTGTGTGTGTACAATTCAATAAATTTTAACTTCTTATAATAGATTTGTGTATATTTAATGATAGTAAATGATAAAATAGACTAGTATTTACATACATTTTATTCATACATGACATACCTTTTTCTTAATTTTTTTTGATATTTCGAGGCTGTGAGGTTCATTTGCAAGTTTTTTTCAAATTGTTGAAAATCTCCAGAATTTTCCCGATATAAATATATTGAAAGTGGACCTGCACAGTTCAAACCCATGTTGTTTAAGAGCTGTACTGTGTGCCAGTGATATATCAGTGAGCAAAACACACAAAGCAATTCATGGTGCTTACAATTCTACAAGGAGAGATAAACAAAACTAAACATAATCTCAGTAAATTAAAACAAGTGTGTTACCAAAAAATTACATAATGTTTTGTGACAGGAACACAAGAGAGAAAACAGGTGCAAGAGTGTGAAGGGGGTTAGAGGAAGAGACATGGAAGTTGTAACTACCTTTGAAAAGGTACAAGGTATCCTTGTCAGAAGCGTGAGGGTGTTATTTTTGAGCTTATCTAAAAGCAGAGCGTCAGGGCAGAGGTCTAGCCACAGCAGAAGTGCAAAGGTGGGAATATGTCTCATGTGTAAGTATCAGAGTTCAGCCAGGAAAGCAGAACCACTGGGAGTGGTATGAAAGCAGGAATTTATTGAAAGGATTAGGCCTCAGGCAATCACGGGAGCTGGTGAAGAAGCCATGGAAGGAGGTCTTCTCTGCATTCAGTGATGGATCTGAAGTCACAGTGGACTAGCAAGGCCAGGAGTCAGGAAGTAAAGCTGAAAGACAAACTAGAATCTGTGAAGGCAAGTTGGAACATGGGAGAACAAACAGGGACTCAAAAGGACAAACTGGAACCCACCCTGTTTCCCACCTTGAAGCACAGGTGAACTGCAGAAGCAGCTTGTGCCCGTCCCTGCAGAGCTGCATGTCCATGGCTCAGGACTCAGAGAAGATGAGGGAGATCTGGCAGCAGCTGGAGGAGCTGCGAGCCTGGCGGCTGCCCCACACCAACAGAGGAAGCCAGCAGATCAGCGACAACACACATGAGCTGCAGCCGCGCCTGGCACCCTGCACCGACCTTCACAGCATACTGGCTGCTGCTCCACTGCCGCCTTCCAAATCTCACACCACGTTCCCTGGAAGCCATTGCCAAGAGCGAGAGAGGAATTCTGGGTAACTTAACTAAATTACCACACTTTAAACCACAGGGAGGAACAGCAAGGAGGCGGGTGTGGCCAGACTGTGATGAGCATGGGAGAAAGAAGCAAGGGATGAGGACCGCAAATGTGTATTTTGAAAATGCGGTACCTGGGCATTCACTCATTTGATTCCCTCTACACTTGTCTGGAAACATGTCTTGGCTTCCTAGGCTGGGGCAACGCCTGCAAAGCACAAGGAAGTAGAGCTGGTGGAGTAACAAACAGCACTGGCAATGAACCTGGTTAAAACCGAAAATTTTCATTCTGCCATGAAAGTTTTCATACCCTTGGTCCTGGTAATTCCACTTTGGGTATCTAACTTAAAAGAAATGATTGATGATGTGATTTCTACTCTTTCCTCCCTGACAAGTACCACGTTTCCCCAAAAATAAGACCTACACATAAAATAAGCCCTAGCAGAATTTCTAAGCATTTGCACAATAGAAGCCCTACCCGGAAAATAAGACCTAGTGATGGGGGTGGCTACGCAGTGGATCTGCACAACCCAAGCATTTTGTCACACAGCAGTAAAGATGATCAGCCCTTCTCATCCGCCCCATCGTGACAGCTACGATCCCACAGGTGACCACAAAGGTGCGGGCAGCCCCACCAACAAGGTCGGCTCCCCCTGTCAGGTCCCGGCCATCTTGTGCGTGCTGCAAGCTGAGGCTTTGAGGGGGAAATAACACATCCGCTGAAAATAAGCCCTAGGGGGTCTTCTTGAGGAAAAATAAATATAAGACCCTGTGTTATTTTCGGGGAAACACGGTAGGGAGTCTTGGGTTTGACCCAGATGGAGCTCTGAGATCCAGAAGTAGGTACGGTTGACCCGCAGGTTAAGGAAGTTCCCTGGAAGCTTTTTTGTAATGTTATTGTTGGTTTTTGTAATTTCATGGTGAGTCCAAACGATATGGTAGATTCTGTGTACTTATTGCAGAGCAAATATCCATTCTTGTATGTCAAATTAACAAAACCCCATTTGCCTCTGACCACCCAGCTAACAGACTGTATTTCCCAGCCTTCCTTTTAGCTTTGTGGCTAAGTTCTGGTCAATGGAATGAAAACAATGTTGAGTGGGACTTCAGAAGTCTCATTAAGTTCCAGTCTTAAGTAAACCCTACAACAAAAATCATACTAGGTAGAAAAATATTGGAAGTTTTCCTTTGAAAATCAGGGCCAAAGTAAAGATGCCCACCTTCATTTTTTCAAGTCAGCATTTTGTATAGATCCTGTGCAGCACAGTAAGTCAAGAGAAAGAAATTAAACACATAAGAATTAAGAAGAAGGAAATAAATAAAACTGTCATTGTTTGCAGATGATATGATTGTCTACACAGAAATCCCCAAAGAATCTAAAAACAAATTCTTAGATATAGTAGGACATTTTGATAAGATCAGTATAAAAATTAAATTTCATTTCTATATGCCAGACATAATTTAAAAAAACATAATTTGGCCAGGCTCGGTGACTCATGCCTGTAATCCTAGCACTCTGGGAGGCCAAGGCTGGAGGATTGCTTGAGGTCAGGAGTTTGAGACTAGTCTGAGCAAGAGCGAGACCCCGTCTCTACTAAAAACAGAAAAAATTAGCCAGGCGTGGTGACACTCACCTGTAATCCCAGCAAGTCGGGAAGCTGAGGCAGGAGGATCACTTGAGCTCAGGAGTTTGAGGTTGCTGTGAGCTAGGCTGAGGCCAAGGCACTCTAGCCCAGGCAGCAGAGCATGACTCTGTCTCAAATTTAAAAAAAAGAAAAAAAACTAAGAAGATGTGCAAAATCTATACATAAAAATAATAACATTTTGGCAAAAAACATTAGAGAACATCTAAATGGAGAAATATCCTACCTTTATGAAGAGGAGTCTATCATAAATACATGAATTTTCTCAAAATTGATCATCTACAGATATAATCAATTATAGTCAATATCCTCAAAAGTTTTTCATAGAACATGAGAAGTTGATTCTAATATATATGGAAGAGCAAAATGTGAAGGATAGCCAAGATACTTCTGAGGAAGAAAAATAGAGCGGGAGGGATTATCCTAGCAAATATAATGATTTTTTTATGAAGTTATAGTAATTAAGATAGTGTGGTATTGGTATAGGAATAAACAAACTGGCCAATAAATAGAATAGAGGGCCAAGAGTCAGACCCATACATGTTTGAAATTTTAAGACAGGCTAGAAGGAAGGAACCAGGGAAAGGAAAGACTGAATCATAAATGGATTGGATACCCAATTTTTCAGAAATCAGATCTTACTTCACACCATATACAAAAGTCAAACCTAGGATTAAGAGCTTAAATGTTAAAAAAGCAAACTTGAACTTTTAGAGGAAAATACAAGTGAATATCTTTCTGATCTTAGAATAAAGAAGGAATTCCCAAACAAGACCAAAAAATATGCTAACCATAAGAGACAATAATTCACGTCTCTTAGTCATCAAAACATGTCATCAAAAGACACTTTAAAGAAAACAGAAGAAAAATTACAATTGGAAGAAGTTATTACAGCACAAAGGATTAACACGAAGAATACATAAGGATTCCTACAAATGAATAAGAAAAAGAACACAACCTAAAAGAAAATTGTGCAAAAGGTTCAAACAGGTGCTTGAGAAGAGGAAATACAGGCAGCTGATACACATGAAGCCCTGTTCAACCTCATTACCAGGGAAACGTAAATCAAACCACACAGCGATACCAGTTTACACCTATTGGTAAAAATTAAGTCTGACACTATTGAATTTGAAGGGAATATGAATCTGTGGTCACATTGCTGGTAAAAGTGTAAATTAACATAACCACTTTGGAAACTAATTTGTCACTACCTTGTAAAGTTTTTCGTGCCTTAAAACGCAGTAACTCCACTTCTAGGTACATATTCAAGAGAAACAGCACCTGTGTAACATCAAGCAGAAGAATGTTCTTAGCAGAATGTGTTAGAAGAAGAAACAGAAACAACTCAGCTATCTACTGGCAGGAGAAAATACAAATAAATTTTAGTGGAGTCATACAATAGTCTGTAATACAGAGGTGAAAATTAATGAACTACAGCTTCACCAACCACATGAACGTCTCAGAAACAACTTGGGGGGAGGGAGGGAAGAATAGGCTACAAAAGACACTTTTGTAGTCTTGTAGCAGCGAGATACTGTTTTTATTAACTGAGAAAACCCTACTATACAGTGGTCCTTGAGTATTCATAGGGAATTGGTTCCAGGACTCCCCTGCCCACTGCATATACCAAAATCTGTACATACTCAAGTCCCCTGGTGGGCCCTGCAGAACCCGTGTATCCAAAAGCTTGGCCCTCGGGTTTTGCATCCTATGACTATTGAGTTTGGTTGAAAAAAATCCGAGTGTAAGTGGACCTCTGAAGCTCAAACTCATGTTCAAGGATCAACTGTATATGATTTAGGTATTCAAGCATATTTGGTAAAATTTATTTTTAAAAAGCAAAGGAATGACAAACACCAGATTTAGGAGAAGAGTAACCTATGTGAGAGAGACAGAGAGCGGGAACAGAGCTGGGGCCCTCACCTTTTGCTTAGGTCAAGGCAAAACAGTGGTGATATTCTAGTTCTTCGCTGAGCATTGGCTTCACCAGGTGTTTACTGTTACACAATAGTAATGTAAAATAAGGCCATGCACGGGCCAGTGATGACAGCGTGCCATGAATCAAAAATTTTATTAATTGCATTCTGTATACTTGAAATTCTCCCAACAAAATTGTGAGAATTGAAAAGAAATTTTCCTTAATTGCACTACCCAAATGCAGCAAGCAACTCCTAAAGTCTCAGTGAATGACCTGGAGCATGCTTTTTTGGCTTTCCAGTGAAGTGTGAAGTATTGCGGTTCTTGTCAACAAACTGTCAGTTGAGCACTGTACACTTCCAGCAGTTCTGAGGTCAAGGGGAAGATTTTGAAAACCTTGGCTGAACATTTTAGGAAAGCACAAAAGAGGTGTCAGCTAAGGCTTCTTAGGGACAGTTTTTCATATATATATATATATATATATTAATCTGGTTGCAAAAGTCTCGTTTAAATTCTAAGGAAAAAACAAATGAGAGTATTGCAAAGTAAATGTTTATTCTAAGTTCCAGCATTTGTTTTGGGTCATGTTTATATTGTAATGTGTTTTACACTTTTCTTCTGTGTGATTTGTTATTAAAATGTTTGTTATAACTTTATACAGCCCGCAGTTTCCACATAGCAACATAGGCCTTTTGATTTAGAAATTGCAGCCAAAAAAAGTAGTTTGGGAGGCAAGAATGTATGCTCATTTAAAGCGGCATCCACTTAGAGGCCAGACAAGCAAATAGACAATGCCCATCATCTCCTGGGCCGGGGGCTTCAGAGGTGGGCACTATGGTACTGTGGAAAGTGACAGGATTTACAAATTGGAAGAAAACCCATCCCCTAAGCCTCTGCTGTGCTTCCAACGAGCTGTGAACTCATGAACTTCAATTTCCTCATCTGTTGAGCTCGGGACCAAGATATGCCTTCCCTACCTCAGGGCTAGTGTAATCACAAAATAGTTGTCACAGTCAAGAGTCAAGCAAGAGTCCACAGGGCCAGTAGCAACAGGAAACCAGCGGGAGGCCAGCAGCACGCTCACACCCACATCCTGGTACTTGGAGCATGGGTTTACTATGACGGCAGAGTTTAGAGTTGTTTTATTATTGCATTTCTGACAGAAATCATCAAATCATACTCCATGTGTTTGATATCAACTCCCTAATCAGGAAAGTAACTCCAAATTTATAACTTTGTTCTTGTGATAAAAAAGCATAATCCGTTTTGCAAGATCCTGTTTTGCAATGATCCAATTTATGTGATGATTTCTAGAAAAATTTTATGGTGACAGCTAAAGATTGTCAGTCACTGACATATTAATTATATAGTCAGGGAAGAGCAGGTGGAATGTAAACCTGGACTTTACCGTACTATAGATGTATTTCTAAAATGGTGCCTGTGAAACAAATACTTGTCCCCATTACTTCACATTATCATTTCAAAGGCCCCTTTTTCCTGGTTGATCACCCTTTGAGGGTGGCACTCCCAAAATGTCAGCTCAAAATTTCTCTGCCCTTCAGCTCCTCTGACAAGTAAGTTAAAGATCTGTAAATAAATCTTAAATGTCCTCAGGAACCTGCCCCGTGAAGGAATCCTGTTAGAATTCTTCTGAAATGCAGACACTGGTGCTCTTGAGCTGGCTTTCTGGAGGGCAGCAGAGCCCCTAAGAATAGGGTCCCAGGCTTTCCTCTCATTGTCGTTCAGGGATGAAAATCTTTATCTTATATATTTTTTTCCAGAGGAGTAGGAGGAAGATTTAAAATAGTTAGGTCTGGCAGCTTAATCTGGGTTGGCTGATTAAGCTTTCTGAAAATGTGTTTTTCAAGGATAAGAAGTTTGGGCGCTGGGCCAAAGCTCATGTCTGTCATCAACAGGAAGATAAACGATCCCTGTAACCCACTGCTATGTTCCATTTACCTTTGTGCTTAAACATGAGCGCCACGCCTTCCACAGGCCCGGAGCTGCTCAACGTGGATCCTTGCCTCTTTCAGACAGAACCTTCCGGAGCCTGCAACTTGGGAG